AATCCTGGAATGGATGAACTTTTAATCATGCCCGCTTTTCAACTTTAATACTATAACTGATTCAGGGCCACTACCGAGTGCCGGCCCTCTCGTTTCCCGGAGGTTTGTAGCTGCAGGGAGCAATGCACTTCTTCGCCTTGGCCCCGAACCGCGCGTGGTAAAAACACTCTCTTGTGTCCCCACGCCGGCCCGGAGCTGCTCCCCCGAAGCCCTCCTAACTGGCGAGGGGGCACTGAGCGTTTTGTAGGGGGGTGCCCCCTCGCCAGCACATCTGCACCGGGCTGCTGGGTCGCCAGGAAGAAACGGTCGGCCTCCTCAGCCAGGGCGCGGGGTTCAGTAATGGTCATGTTGGCCAGCGCCGTCTGAACCCGGGCAAGTGTCGCAGGAACGTCTCCATGAACAAAATCCTGGGATCTTCCCCCCCAGCAGATTCAGCATCTTCTCCATGAGCTGGGATGGCTTGCTGTCTCCCAGACCCTGAATCTCAAGAATCAGGTAAGCCCTCTCCTTAGCAGATAAGCTAAATGTCTTAAGGAGAAGGGCCTTAATCGCCTCATATTTGCCATGGCGTGGGGGATCTGCGATAAATCCAACTAACCTGGATGACGTGGAGCTCCCCAGTGCCGCCACCACGTGAAAATACTTCAGGTCCCCGTCACGGACCTGGCGGCAGGCAAAGTGCGCCTCCACGTGTGCGAACCACGCCGTAGCGGCATGTTCCCAAAAACTACGGCAGTTTAACATAAACATCACGATCAGCCATGTTCAATAAGTCTTCGGAATCTATCACGAAAACAAAAATATCTACATGTGTAGCAACTGCTACACATGTATTTATACATGTAGATATTTTTGTAGACATTTTTGTTTGTCTAACTAGACAAACATAATTAATAGATGATCTCATTAATACCTATTTTATATGTACTAAAAAATAAAAATAAAGTTTACTAAGCCACCTTTTTGTTTCAAATGATTAATTAGACAAAATGATTTGTGCTGAAAGTCATATACTGTTGTGTCTCAAACGGATAGACTAGGTTATTATTTTATTCGCCTAATAGTTGCTTAAAACGCTACAATAACATTTGCAATTCGTTTTTTTTTTATCTGCCAATGTCTCTCAGCCACCGTAGTGTCGTGTAGGGGGTGTGTCTTGCTGCAGCTGGATGATATTGGTCCCGTTGATCTTAAAACTAATTTCCTTGCTTCTTCTCCTTTCTCGTAGTTTCCTTGCGTCTCTCCATGCTTCCCTGGTGGGAGAGACGCAGGGAAACGACGCAAGTGAGGGACGCAAGGATTCCATTGAACCGAAGTGAGAAGCCTGAGAAACACCCACAGAGTCCGGTGCACTTCCTGGGGGCTTGAGCAGAGCATGCAGCAGAGGTGTAGCTCAGAGACCGGAAACACCCTGAGCTGCCAGCAGAGCGTCAGCAGGGGTCCTTCTCACTTCGGTTAAATGGATTCCTTGCGTCCCTCACTTGTGTCGTTTCCCTGCGACTAGTCCCTCCCACCAGGGAAGCATGGAGGGACGCAAGGAAACCACGAGAAGCAAGGAAATTAGTTTTAAGAGCAATGGGACGTCCTTTCCTCCGGAGCGTCACGTGAAGCGACGTCCGTTTGTGATGACGCTGCACAGCTGATCGTCTGACAGCAGCTCTGTCCCCGTTATTTCCACACACACCCCCGCCTCTGTTAGTACACATTTACTGACACAAACATTTGTATCATCTGTTGTAGACCCCATGTCACGGCTGCTGCTGCTGTCTGCTCATTAACCTGCCTGTGAGTGTTTTCAGCTGTGGGTGATTATGTAAATGAGCTGTGTGGTTGCCCCAACATCATTGGCTGTCATCTCCTGGTCCACTTCCGAGGACACTAATTGGAGCACGCCGGGTCCGACGTTCTCCAATCCCTGTGCCAGCCCAGCGCACACCTGCTGGAGAGGACTACAAAGCCTGGGAACTATCACCACTCTGGAGGCTCTGCTGCGATCAGACGCCTCATACCTTTTTGCGCTTGTGTCATGGACATTACAGACTGTGCTTAGTGACGAGTGTCCATATATGTGTTCAGTGTCGTGTGACAACTTATGTGCTTAGTATTGAGTGTGGAGATATGTGTGTAGAAGTAGTGTGCTGTGTAGGATATTGTGAAACAGCTTAGACCCAGGTAACTAGCACCTGTTGATCAGCTACAGCTGTGCCTTCCTTTATTTAGTTGTACCACTGTTAAAGTGAGGTTTTGTTTCATTTTCGCTATTAGTATTTATTTATTCTGTATGCCAGTAGACTCCTTTTTAAGAGTCCTCCCTTTGTTTGGTAAATTGTCAACCGGTGCCCTTTTGGCCCTTTTGTTTGTTTCAGGCTGCCTGCCTGCCATTTTTGTTACACTTTGCATTATAATAAAGCCACTTATAATTAATACCAATACCACTCTGGTCGTGTCGCTTCCCTTTGGTTCCCCTAGCCCAATAGGGAACGTAACACCCCAATAAATAAAATCAAATAAGAACTCATTCTCAAAAAAGATAAACGCCATTCTTAAAATGTATAAACGAACATTAGTTGGATTAATATTGATTAGAGTGCACAATAGAAATAAAATAATTGAGAGAAGAAAAAGAGATATGGTATCTATCAAAACCCAGTTAGATTAACATTCATTGGATTGCACACTTTGTGTGTTTGTGTGGATATGTAGCACATTAACATTTTAATAGCACTTAATGACTGACTGAATGGAAATGACAATAAATGAAAATGTAAAACGAAAAAAGCGATCATGAAAATGTTTCCAATAAATGAATAAAATGATTGTTGACCACTTAGTTGTTCAGATATATCACATATTTGTAACTAAATGAAACATGAATTGAAACAAAACACGGTATAGACTGAGGAGTGACTCCCGTGAGGTTCATGTGTTTTCTTCACTCCGCTGGGAAACTGCTCTCATGTCAAGAAGCATCAGATCAGTGCATGCGCTGCATCGTCCAATCAGTGAGCGATACACAGTAAGGGGGCGGGGCGAGTGTCTGAGGATTTCATCGGAGGATGGTCTGGTGGTTCCTCGATTATAGCTCCTCCATTATCGCTCCTCCGGCAAAAATAAGGCCATTGGGACGCTACTCAAGATGGCGCAGACAAATCAACTTCCGGTGAGACCGAGGAGCGAGGAAATGAAAAATAAGAGAAGTGAGAAGGGTCCTTAGAGAGTTTGAAATATCCTTCCTTAATATTGTGTGTGAGCAACAGGTGTCAGAGTACACAGCAGTGGCGTAACAAGGTTGTGTGTCCTTTCTCTTTTGAGTGCTGCTCTTGTGCTTTGGTTTGCTGTACATTATAAATGCAAGCTATTACATTTTTTATAATGCTGCCGAACTTGCTGCTTCTAGCTACAGTACAGTACAGGTTGAGTAAACGATTCGCTCGTCACGCAAGGTATCACATGACATGAAAGGGAGCAAGGTCATTGGACAGACAAATTACAAATTAATTTAGGTTGCTTGGTTACTTTGAAGAGTGCGTGAATGCCAAAATAAAATGTAAAAAAAGTATATGTATATTTTATTTTTGCATGGGCCCCTGTCCGGCTCTGGGCCGGCTGCACTGTCGATAGTTACGGCCGTCCACACAGCAGCGTTCAAAAATCTTCCAATATAGGCTATATATATATATATATGAAGATTTTTTATATATATATATATATATATATATATTGGAAGATTTTTATACTTTTTTTACATTTTATGTATATATATATAAATAAATATTAAAATAATTTGTTTTATATATATATATTTTTTTTTTCATGATAACCATCATTATGTCTGATGGTAATATGACACCATTAAACACAGTAGCCGTGACGCCCTTAAAACCAATCCCAAATCAGTCAGAACCCGAGCTGAGCTGAACCAATCACAATGCAGAGTTGTTTGAATTGAACGCTGAACAAGCCAATCAGAAGAATTCGCGCCTTCCTGGTCACTGGTAGTTTTGCTCAGAGGGAGGGAGAACGAGCACTACGTCAAACGTTAGGACAGTCTGTTTTAAAAATATATATATATAGCTACATTTATCAATTATTTGTCTTACAAGGGAATATTCATCAGGTGTAATTACTGGAACTACCCGCGGTATAATAAGGTAAGTGTTTTTGTCCAGCGCATGAGTTTGTGAAAAAGCTGTCGATTGCCTTTGTTGGGAAATTGTGTTTTAGGCTCCGACTACTTCCTGAAACCATAACTTGTTCTTCAGGTCCAAGTAAGATGATAAAGTAACTGTTAACTCGCTTATGGTTAATAGTTTCAGAAAGGTTAGATAGATGTTTTCAGCAGCACTGTGAAGTGAACTAGAATGTAAGCAGATGAAGGACACGCAATTAAATGGTCAGAAAGTAGACCGTGCCTGCTTGGTCAAAGACTGATATCAGCCTAGGAGCGGTTTAGATTTGTGTGCACCTAACGTTCGATGATGTGACATGTTTGTGTTCTGGGATACGTCCCTGTGTCCAGCGAGACTTATTCACTCATGCGCTTGCGGCTGAAGGACCGTCTGTTTTGCTGGCCAACAGGATTTGAATGCATGACGTTTTCCCTCCTTGCTTCCTGCTGTCTCCATGACGCTTAAAGCAACAGCTCAGAAACATTACAATGGAAGAATATAACTGGCTGCTTTTCCGGAATACTTTGTATGTTAAGATCTATTTACATTGTGGAGCGTGTTGTAAAACAGCGAGGGGAAGTTCACAAAATAATTTGGAAAATGCTCTAAATTCGTCGATATTACCTTAACTTTGCCAAATCACAAAAGGTAGCGCAGTGAAAACTGCAGCCAGAAGGAAGAGTGTTTTATTTTAAGGAATAATGTTATGTTTAAATGTGATGCTAAGTGTTACTTAAGGTTGATTTGAGATTGTATTGGGACCCAAATGTTTGGTTTTATTTCAGTTTTAGTTCGTTATTTTAAATGCATTCTGCTTTTATTGGAAAGCACTTTGTTACTGTTGTTTGATTACTAATACGGGGTTAGCTCACCTATCATTTGATTTTAGCTGACGCATTATCAAACTGAGTATATAAGTAAAGTTAAAGTTTGAGAGTCTAGTGCTATCGATTGGAGGGCGTTTACCACTGGATTCACATGCTACATTTCAGAGGGGCTGCTCTGCATACCATGTGGAGCTAAACAGGAGTTTCCGCACAAAGGGGGGATGTGTGACTTGTATTTAAAAGTCCCCCTATGGTGCAGCCCTTATCCTGTCACCAGCCCAGCCGGAGATGGGGCTCTGCGGACAGGCCGGCCGGCACAGCAGCGCGGGGACTGAGCTCGGGTGTGTCATTGTAACATTTGGATGTTGTGGCTTTTTGAGATTCGACCAGTGCAGTGGAATAGGGGTTGACTATGTTTGACTCTCTCTCTCCTTGCCCTTTTTAAAATCCTGATGAGCCAGTTATGTTGTGTTTTTAGAAGGAGTACACATTGATTTGCTATGCATGGCTTTGACAGTGCAACAGCTTGGTTCAGTAGACTTATTGTAGTTTTTAACATGAATGTGTATTTGCCGGTTTGAGGTGTTTTTCTCAGAAGGACACTTTAGGGTGACAATCGCAACTAATGGTAAGCAGTTAGTGAACGCTGCCTGCCATTCACTGAAGCAGAGCACAGTGTTAACCAATGGAACTTAGACTCCTGTTAGTCATTTAAGGTCAGTGGCTCAGCTGCCAGCAGCAGAGAGCTTCACCTGCTCTGCTGAAGCTCTCATCCAGTGAGCTACACTTGTTGTTAAGAAGTGCAAATAATCAACATTTCTAACACATTGCAATGCCCCCGAGGCTCTGGCGGTGGCAAAGTCACTTGGAAAAGGGATTTACTGCACCGCTAATGACTTTAAAGATTCTGCAGATCTCAGTCAGACTGCAGATGATGCCTTCATTATTGAAACAATGACAAGTCCTCTTCGACAGTGCTAAGTCACACACAGCCCAGCTACATGTATAACCATTAGCGAATGTCACCTTTTGTTTACCGATGTGCTGACGGCAGTAAGAAGGGCGAACATTGGCCGATGTCCTGCCAATGCAAAGGTGCATCCCTAGATATTATTCAGGAGCATTGCAAATAATAATATTTGTAGAATAAACGTAATGTTTGTCTCATAGTAACACTGAGCAGCTGTTATAACCATTTCAAATCGTTTGGTTTTGTTAAAGTGGCTGCTAGATTTGACAAACTTAACAGTTGGAGCTACAGTTGAGGGAGTGGGAGTCAGACAGACAGCTGGGGGACCCTATGGGACAGAGCTGTCAGCAGTTCTACACACTGAGCCTCCCTGATCTCTAAGGTCCATAATGCTGAGCTGGCCTTGGCCACCTCATTGTGTCCAGTGGTGCACATGCAGTCATGTTAGCTACTGAAGTATGTTTGGATGGTTTTAAAGTAAGACTGGAACACAGACACGTTTTTAAACTTGAAGATAAACATAACAATGATGGGGTTTTTGATACTTTTTAATGATTTATTTGGTTGAATTCTAATACTGTTAATACATATGATGATATTTTTTTCCATATGATAATATTTATATATATATAGCAATGTGTGTTTTCTAGGAGTGTAACGGTACACGTACCGAAATTATTCGGTAAGGGCCCTTCGGTTCGGTACAGGTGTGTACCGAAGTGTACCGAACGAATATAACGATAAACGTAAAAAATTGAGAACGTGAATAACTTTTTGGAAGTAATCTCAGGTGCTGCGTCGCAGCATTCAGAGTCATTTGCTCACATTGGGTTCAACGCGTCATAGAGCGAGCAAGTCATTTCATTGGACGAGAGGCATACTATGAGAGCTGGTCAGAGGGATGCGTTCAAATGTAGTCAGTAATTTGAGGAACTGTCGAAATGGCGAACGCAGATAAAGTTGAGCTCGAAAATCCTCCAGCATCATTGAAGTTTCCGGTTTGGGAACATTTTGGTTTCGCAGTTACGAACAAGGATGAAGGACAAAGACAGGTGGACCGAACCAAAGCTGTTTGTCGGCATTGTTCAACTAAAATTGGTTACGCGGCTGGCAATACATCAAACTTGCACACTCTTGAAAAGGCATCACCCGAACTTGAATATCACCGGTACCAAAAGAAAAAAGACTGAAGTGCAAACCCAACTCCCGCTAGCATGTAAGCCTCCACCACTCGCAGAGAGTTCAGACCGAGCCAAAGCTATTACAAACACCAAATATCCTTATGTTGCCATGTTAGCAAAGCGCTACCTGGCTGTATCTGCTACCTCTGTCCCTAGCGAGAGGGTGTTCTCCACAGCAGGAGACATTGTTAGTGCCAGCAGATCTGCCCTTTCGGCAAGCAATGTGGACAAGTTCATCTTTCTTTAGAACAACATGAAAATACAATGACAAGCAAGTCCTAATGTCAAGCTGGCGGCTTAGGTGCTAGTACATCCATCCATCCATCCATCTTCTCCCGCTTATCCGTGGTCGGGTCGCGGGGGTAGCAGTTCCAGCAGAGAGCCCCAAACTTTCTTTTCCCTGGCGACATCAACCAGCTCTGACTGGGGGATCCCAAGGCTCTCCCAGGCCAGCGAAGAGATATAATCCCTCCACCTGGTCCTAGGTCTACCCCTTGGTCTCTTCCCAGCTGGACGTGCCTGGAACACCTCCCTAGGGAGGCGCCCAGGTGGCATCCTAACTAGGTGCCCGAACCACCTCAACTGGCTCCTTTCGACGCGAAGGAGGAGCGGCTCAACTCCGAGTCCCTCCCTGATGACCGAACTTCTCACCTTATCCCTAAGGGAGACACCAGCCACCCTGCGGAGAAAACCCATCTCGGCCGCTTGTATCCGCGATCTCGTTCTTTCGGTCATGACCCATCCTTCATGACCATAGGTGAGGGTAGGAACGAAAATGGCTACCGGGTGCTAGTACAGTACAGTTCAAATACAGATTATTTCAGTTCATCGAAATGCTGCACCTTAATGTTTATTTTATTATATTTTGTATTTATTTGAGTGAATACATTATTCACAGTTTAATAATAATAATAAAAAATATATATATATATGTTTTGTTTTGTGAAAAAAAATTCTGCTGTACCGAAAACGTACCGAACCGAACCGTGACCAAAAAACCGAGGTACGTACCGAACCGAAATGTTTGTGAACCGTTACACCCCTAGTGTTTTCTGATTGACAGATAAGCAAACAGAGTTGAATCAAAATGTGAGAAGAGCATTTTATCCGTATTTCTCAGAGCAAGTCTTTTTTGGTTGGAGGCCTGAAATAAGGTCTGTGGTTGACACCAGCTGAAGAGATGGTGATGTTTTCTTCTTGGTCAGTTAAAAACCCCACTGGTGTCCAGATCCTTTTGATCTCATAAAAACAGATTCATAATGCGCTTCAGTGCACTGTGTGGGAACATAATGACAATGCCTTGCAAATTAGGTTAGCTCTGCTTTGACAGAGTTCTAAATACATATTTGAATGTATATGATTCCTAATGTAGGGTTTTTCTCTAGCTTTTATTTTCACTCTAAAAATCAAAAATCCAGCCTACATTCATTTACTCTTATGTCTTTGCCTTTGTATTTTTGCTGTCCTAATCTTTACCCTTCTAATTCTGTCCCCTTTTCACACTATCTTCTGCTTTATAATCTACCTTGTGTCTTTCACTCTTTCTTAGGTCAACAAAAATGCCTACTGTGAAGTATCAGAGAGGGGACATGGTGATGGGCCGCTGGCCTGGCAGCAGCCTGTATTACGAGGTGAAGGTGCTTCACTTTGATGCCAAAAGCCAGCTTTACACTGTCATCTACAAGGATGGCACTGAGCTGGAACTCAAGGAGCAAGACATAAAGGTACCTGTCACAAAGTAACTTACAAACTGTCTTTTCACACTTTCATGAAACATTACTTTGTGTAAGTGTCTTTGTTATTATCGTCTTTGATATACAATTCTAGGTGACACAGGTCGCAACCTTAGGGAGATAACCCCTTATCAAATATTGTAAGGTAAACGTAAAGAGGTAATTCAAGCTTTATCATATACACCAGGGGTGCCCACACTTTTTCAGCTTGGGAGCTACTTTTAAAATGACCACGCCCAAATGATCTACCTACAGGGCCCAATCTGTGTCTTGGGGGGGGGGGGGGGGGGTGCTAGTGGACTAAATGGCGGATAAACTGTGGCGCACTTACACTAATTGCGCCGCATAAGCGCATTATAGTGCGCTGCATTTGTGCTTCAGATGAGGAGGGGAGGCCGCCTCATAACGGCATGAACCTGTAAGGCACAATACAACTCAGACTGGCTTACCTGTACGTCAATCAAGTGGCAAATGCCATAGTAAGGATGGATGATAGGCTAACTTTGAAAGAAAACCAAAAAGTTGAATTGCGATCGACGTATTGGGCGCCCCTGATGCAGTGTTAACCAATAATAGGGCTGTCGCCATTCTGCAATACACAAGTTGCCCTTAATTATAATGTCACCATTTGGTTTCTTCTGCTTTTTAGCATCAACTGCTATTCAATTGTTAGAATATAAAGTCTTGACTCTACAGATAATCAGATCATTCATATTCTGAAACTCTCATTGTCAAGTCTTCATAAAGGTATAATCACCATATTTGTTGAGAAGTGTAAATAGATGCTGATATCTGAGCCATGCAACGGTGCATTCCTGATTGTATTACATTTCATTCGATGATGAAGCTTTATGTGCTTTGGCAAGTTTGAGAGTTTCCCTTTGCTCTGTATTATTTATTTGCTTGTTCTATTTATTTAAATTTGAAAAATACTTGAAAATGTTTATTTATGTTACAAATGAAGACACACGTTCAAAGGCTATGTGTACGATGATGTAACTCATGCTATACTCTGTTGAAAGAATAAATTAAATGTTGAATGTGTTTCCTTGCTGCTTGTTCCGACACGCATTAGGAATCGTTACAGGTGCAGTTTGAATTGTCTCTTCGTCCATGCTGTGCGATAACGCTAACGCTTTTTCTCAGCCCTGGAATTGAATTTTGTGAAGCCAAAGAAAATAATAATATATCATAAATGTGCACCAACTCCATTTATAACCTAACATGACGACTAATGGTTAATTAGGAACCCTAAAAACCATGACTCCCATAACAAACAGTTAGACCCGAGTGTACTGCTACTAGCGTTCACGACGAATGTAACCCGGAACATTTCTACTCGGCAGATCAATTATATATTACGCTTTTTAAAATAATGAAAAAGTATTGTTTTCCTGTCATTTCCAAGGCAGGATACAGCTTGAATGTAGAAACAATGCTAGAAAACCTCCGAGTGCTGACTGACTACTATAATTCATATTTGTCCTTATTGCCTGAACTATTTAATGATTTGGAGGAATGATATTGTAATGCTTCCTGTTATCTTTGCCAAAAATCTCTTCCTGACCTTACTGTGTAGTCTATTAAGGCTTCTCAATTCTCTAATTTCCCCACCTCGACTCCTATGCTCGTGTCTTAGTCCCACAGGAGATGCAAGCGGAGGAGAGAGGAGGGTATGGAGTCAGATTTGGGTCAATATTCTAGCGCGTAAAACAAGCTACTCACGAGCGGAAAATGTGCTTTTACACGCGCATAAAATGACCCTCGCGCGCAGATTAAACCCCCGCGAGCGGCTCTGCGCCCGCGAGCGAGAGAGACAGACCTCTTGCTCGCTCGCGGGAGTGTCAGCCTCGCGGAGTCTGTCTACGCGCGCGTGAAAAGTTTCTGGCACTTTGGGGCGGAGCCACTGGACTTTGATTGACAGCTGTCAGGAACCCCGGAGTTGCCAGGTTTGATAAATGCCTGAACTACCAAGAGCCGAGGAGTGACAGCTGCAAGATCAGTTGGACGAGATTGAATGGTAAAGTTGTCCATAAAAAACTATTATATTCGTAAAGTGTACAGCTAATATATATATATATATATATATATATATATATATATATATTAATTAATTTTATATAAAACAACATATTTTTGAGTGGGCTGTATCTGTCGAAAATGGCTAGCTTCTGTCTGCTGTACACTCTTAGAAGGGATGTGTCAAAAATGACACAACATGTGTTGAATTTCAACACGCCTACAGAGTGTGCTCAGGGACAACACGTGTTGTGTTTATGTTTAAATCATTTTTACACACAAAATGTGTTACATGCCCCTAACACACAATGTGCACATTTTACACATTGTGTGTCATAAATGTGTAACCAAGATGAACACACTCATTTGTTATTTCTGCACATTTTGTGTTATATTTCTTTAACCAGAATTAACATTTGATTGTGTTATATCTGCACATTGTGTGTCAATGACGATTACTGGAAGTACCAGGTGGTGGATATGGTTTTTATTCAAAAAATCGAATGCAAGGATTTCATTAGCACAATATGTCATTAAGAAAATAATTGTTAACATTTAAAAACATTAATATTTTTCTAATTCATCAAATGTTGACAGAATAGATCATTCATAAAATCACACCTAAAACAACCTTATACCTTGGTTAAAACAAACTTAATCTTCAGCAAACTATTGTTGTAAATGACTTTCAGCTGAGGGAATATAGTGATGAGATTCTTCACAAGGACCACCTTTTCAGTGTTGGATGGATAATTAAGGATACAAATGAATGACAAGTGAGCTATTTATTTTTTATTTTTCAAAAAAATACAAAAAGTTCTAGCATACAAATATGACAAATGCGTGATAATAAAGCAATTGGTAATAAAGAATGTCCTTTTGTATCAAGCAAATAAAAAAATAATGTTTACAACCAATATATCACTTAAATGCAACACTTATACACACATTTCACATTCATATACCTACAATGCCTCTCCACCAAGTCAGAGATGCAAACTTTGACAAGTTTAAGCCTGGTCTTCTCCGTAAGAATGCCATTAGTTTGCAGTTCGTCAAATACTTCTGGAATTTTCTTCTTCAGTTATAGGCCATTCAGAAGAACTGTAAAACGATTCCATACATGGGCACACAGCATAGCTGTTAAGGATCCGAAATATGTTTACTTAGCTTATAAATGTAGGCTATGCTGCAGACAGTAGCTAGCAGTTTTCGACGGATACAGCCCACTCAAAAATATATTGTTTTATATAAAATACATTTTTATATATATATATATATATTAGCTGTACACTTTACGAATATAATAGTTTTTTATGGACAACTTTACCATTCAATCTCGTGGGGGTTTAATCTGCGCGCGAGGGTCATTTTATGCGCGTGTAAAAGCACATTGTCTCGTGAGTAGCTTGTTTTACGCGCTAGAATATTGACCCAAATCTGACTCCATAGAGGGGAAGCAATAGGCGGTTAGAGAAATGAGAACTCCTCTCCTCTGAGCGGTCATTTTATTCTACAGCTCCTAAAGCATAATCAGGATACAGTCGTTGTGTATTTTATTATGTGAAGCACTAAATGGTTTTAGAAAAGTATCGACTCTTTGTTTGTAGATATTAGGGGTGTAACGGTACACGTACCGAAATTATTCGGTACAGGCCCTTCGGTTCGGTACCGAAGTGTACCGAAGTATACCGAACGAATATAACGTTAAACGTAAAAAATTGAGAACGTGAACAACTTCTTGGAAGTAATCTCAGGTACTGCGGCGCAGCATTCAGAGTAATTTGCTCACATTGGGTTCAACGCGTCATAGAGCGAGCAAGTCATTTCATTGGACGAGAGGCATACTATGAGAGCTGGTCAGAGGGATGCGTTCAAATGTAATCAGTAATTTGAGGAACTGTCGAAATGGCGAACGCAGATAAAGTTGAGCTGAAAATCCTCCAGCATCATTGAAGTCTCCGGTTTGGGAACATTTTGGTTTCGCAGTTACGTTCAAGGATGAAGGACAAAGACAGGTGGACCGAACCAAAGCTGTTTGTCGGCATTGTTCAACTAACATTGGTTACGCGGCTGGCAATACATCAAACTTGCACACTCATTTGAAAAGGCATCACCCGAACGTGAATATCACCGGTACCAAAAGACTGAAGTGCAAACCCAACTCCCACTAGCATTTAAGCCTCCACCACTCGCAACAAGTTCAGACCGAGCCAAAGCTATTACAAACGCCAAATATCCTTATGTTGCCGTGTTAGCAAAGCGCTACCTGGCTGTATCTGCTACCACTGTCCCTAGAGAGGGTGTTCTCCACAGCAGGAGACATTGTTAGTGCCAGCAGATCTTCCCTTTCAGCAAGCAATGTGGACAAGTTCATCTTTCTTTAAAACAACATGAAAATACAATGACAAGCAGGTCCTAATGTCAAACTGGCGGCTTAGGTGCTAGTACAGTACAGTTCAAATACAGATTATTTCAGTTCATCGAAAAGCTGCACTTTAATGTTTATTTTTATTATATTTTGTATTTATTTGAGTGAATATTCATAGTTTAATAATAATTAAAAACCCAAAACCAATAGTTTATGTTTTGTGAGTACTAGTCGGTGCTAGTACAGTAAAGTTCAAATACAGATTATTTCAGTTCATCGAAATGCTGCACCTTAATGTTTATTTTATTATATTTTGTATTTATTTGAGTGAATACATTAGTCACAGTTTAATAATAATTTAAAAAAAATATATTATGTTTTGTGATAATTTGTTCTGCTGTACCGAAAACGTACCGAACCGAACCGAACCGTGACCTATAAACCGAGGTACGTACCGAACCGAAATGTTTGTGAACCGTTACACCCCTAGTAGATATCTACTAAACTACAGCAAATAAAGAGAGTAGGCCTGTTATACTGAGTGATATGTATTATACACACTGCTCTGCTTTCTACACGGACCTCACAGCTGTTCTCTCTGGAAACATCGCGTTGTGATGAGAGCAGTTAATAAAATAATATCCAGGGGATGCATGCAGAGCTGTCATTGGCTGAGATAAGTCCGGCCGTGCGTCACGACTCTTTGAAACATATCTGTTCCCGGAAATGCATCCACAAAGGAGCCGTGGAGGACCGTGGAGGACCCATCAGTGTATCCTCGGTTAGAGCTCCTCCAGAGAGCCTCCTCGACGCTCGATCCTCGGTCCTCGAAGTGCATTTAGAGAAATGAGATGTCCTTCAACATGGCGTGCTGAAATCCATTTCCGGGTCACTACCGGAGGAGTCGAGGAGGGGAAATTAGAGTATTGAGAAGCCTTCAATATGTCTTTTCTATACGTTCTAGAAAAGATAAGGCAGACTTCTTTTAAATATCTTGTCCAATACAAAACAAGGTAAAATTGTTTACAATGTTCGCAATCTGCTGTCTCCCCTCAGAGTGCAGCTGGTTTCCAGTCGCGCCCTCGCTCCCGCTCTCGTTCTCGATCACCAGGCCGTCGACGCAGCCGCTCTCGTTCCCCAGCACGGACCACGCGGCCCTCGTGCACAGCGGCGGCCGTCGCTGCTGCAGCTATCACAGAGAGCACACCGCCTTCTCGCAGCGATGCTAAGCTGAAGGATTCATTCGAAGTCAGGCTAATTCCCCCGGTGAGTGCCACCTACTCATTCAGTACTAGGGAGGTTGCAGAAGTTGATGAACAGGAAGAGATAATTCCCAGGATATCTGTCCCTGCGACTGATATCAAAAGCATCAGTAAATGTTAAACGCCACACAGTAATCCTGTAATGCTGTCTGCTCTGCTGCCTACAGGACTTTGTTGTACCCTGTCGGCTCAATATAAATTCTCTTTGATTGGCTGCTTTAGAGTAACTTGACTCAGGTCTTCCATTATTGTCTTGTCAAACTTAAAAAAAAATAAAGCTTGTGTGAAGTTTGATAAACGTGCCTGCGAAGTGTCAGCTGCATAAGCAGAGACTGATTGTGTCGCACAATCTGAGCTACATTCTGTGTTGACTGGAACTGGGCAACAGTGCATTTGTTTTATTTCTATAGTTTGACTTGAACCTGTGAGATGTAGTTATGGAATGTTGGCTCCCTGTGAGTCAGTCAGTATTTTACATTTGATTTGTAGTTGTGTAATTTCCACTCAGCTCTTCATTAACTAAATTACTAAATTAAAGAGCATCACAACCTAAAGCACATCCTTGTGGCTTGTTGTTCTGAATTTTGACCAGAACCTCTCACGCTCACTCTGCTTATTCCTCACGTTGCGGTTTTCCCTTTTTTGTCTCTTTTCATCTCCATCAATCTCCCTCCATTGTTTGATGGACAGGAACAGACAAAGGCATCTGAGAACAATGGCAACAAAAAGCATGAAAAGAAAGAGGACAATGAGCCTGCTAACAAAGTAAATGAGGTGAGTTGTATTTTCTTATTTAAAGCAATTCCCCTCTGTCTGAAAAAAAGACATTTCTTTTCAAATGAAAGATTCAGAAAGGCATAATTGGTGCAGTCGCATTGGCCAGTTCCTCTCAGTACTCACATGACCATCAACAAAGAACAAAGTCAGGACACACACTCACACAAAAACCTTAGTATGTGCCCAACATGTAAACACAGCTGCATTAGAAGGCATTAATGCCGCTGTTAACTTGACACGCTTTTCTGCTCTCTCTCTCTTAGGTTGAAGGGCTCTCTCTGAGTTGAGAGTTTAAGAGTTTAATTGAGTTTTTCATACTATTACAAACAAGCAACATCTAACTTGCCTGGCACTACTCCTATAGTGAAAGTTGGAGCTGATGGAATGTCATGATGCATGCAGGTTGTGGGGCCATGTGAGGTTTCAGCTGAGAGGCTCCCCTCACAACATTGGGCTTCATGAGCCGGTCACATGGCGAAACATGTGCCTCTCCTTTCCTCTCCCTTGCAGCTTGTTTTTAAATGCCATTTTAGATCTTTGCTTTTAAATGAGTGTTTTTAAATCCCATTTTATAATATGTTTCTTAATGCTCTTCAGTGTTTCCCCTAGGATGGAGTCATAGCAGCGGTGCTAAGGCACGTGGGCTCAGCATAATGTGAGCGCGGAGCGCGTGAAATTTGTTTGTGCGTGTGAAGTGCGCCCCGTCAATTTGTTTCTATAGAGGTTTCTCAATACTCAAATTTCCCCTCCTCGACTCCTATCCTCGAGACTTGGTGCCGCCCACAGGAGAGGCGAGCGGAGGACTGAGGAGGGGAAGCAGCAGGCGGTTAGAGAAATGAGAACTCCTCTCCTCTGAGCGGTCATTTTAAAGAGACGTCCATTAATGATGACAGGAGGCACAGCAGCCCTCTGTCTGATGGACAGATGTGTTCATGACCACTTATATATTTACTTTGATTCATTCACAGTGCGGTATAATGAGACAATAACAGGCTACAGATGCAGACACACAGACACATATATTTATATGAATATATATACAATTTCAGAATCAAACAAGTATGAGAGCACTCTCATAATAACGTAACACAATCAGAGACTGGATAAATCCCCCCCTCTCTCTGGTCGCTGAAATGGGGAATTGAAATTACGGGCCAAAAGTTGTATTTACATGTATTAAAAGTAAGCATTGGATACCAAACCAACTGAGACCCATCTGTCCGCCACATCTACACACTGTACCACACACCTACAACTCCTAAAGCATAATCAGGCTACAGCCGTATTTTATTATGTGAAGCACTAAATGGTCTTAGAAAAATATCGACTCTTTGTTTGTAGATATCTACTAAACTACAGCATACAAATACAGAGAGTAATGTAGGCCTGTTATACTGAGTGATATATATTATACACACTGCTCTGCTTTCTGCACGGACCTCACAGCTGTTCTCACTGTAAACATCGCGTTGCAATGAAAGCAGTTACTAATATAATATCCAAGGGATGCATGCAGAGCTGTCATTGGCTGAGATAAGTCCGGCCGTGCGTCACGCCTCCACCGTTCCCGGAAATGCATCCGCGGAGGAGCCGTGGAGGACCCATCAGTGTCTCCTCGGTTAGAGCTCCTCCAGAGAGCCTCCTCGACGCTCGATGCTCGGTCCTCGAAGTGCATTTAGAGAAATGAGATGTCCTTCAAAATGGCACGCTGAAATGTATTTCCGGGTCACTACCGGAGGACCGAGGAGTCGAGGAGGGGGATTTGAGTATTGAGAAACCTCTTATGTGTCTGCCAGCACAAGAAAGGCTCTTGAGGCCTAGTACCAGGGCCGGTTCTAGACTATTTGCTGCCCTAGGTGAGATTTTATATATAAAGAATAAATGAAAAATCTCTACAAAAGACAAAAACACTACAAAAACAGAAACTTATTGACATAGGTAAAATATACGTCAAAATGGCTTCAAATGTATTATTGTATGAACATGTTTTAATTGGGGGGTGGATGTCACATCCTCTAGGGGTCAAGTAAAATGCTTCAATCTGGTGCACTTTAAGCAGAATGACTAGAGACTAGATCTAGGGGGTACAACTCTAAACACCCATATGAAAAAGATCGGTTTACATTTTAATAATCAAATAAGTATGTGAACATAACCAATAACCTACCATAGCCAATAACAAATACATGTAACTTATTTTATTTTTGTTGTTCATTCATATCTTATTTTACCTTAACATTTATTTATTCATGCATATTTTTGTATCTCTCCAACTTTAAACGATATTTTTGGTTACTGTCCTATTAGTATACATTGGAATGATTTCAAACCTGTTTTTATTTATCCTAATAATTATAAAGGAGTGCCTTGGAAATATTTGTTTACATAATTTGTAAACACATATTTGTTTTAGACCCACTGAGATGACTTGGACTAAAATGAACTATCTGAACACTAGGGATGGGTATCGTTTGAAATGTATCGATTCCGATTTCGATTCCGGTTCTGCTTATCGATTCCGGTTCTTATCGATTCCCCGTTTCGATTCCAAAATTGTAAAATAAAGAGGTCAAACGTTTAGATAACAAAAATATATTTATTCTTAAAAGCTTTAACTGAAATTGTTACTAAAAAATATACATGCAATACAAATGTATTGCACAATAGCTGTGCTTTATTTTAACTGAGCTAGCGTTGCCTGTGGCAAGCTATTAACAGGCATTACACTTTGCCTTTTCTTTTTCTTTTTTAGTGTAGTGGAGCCTCACTTCAGAGTGTTTACCGCGACCTATCTTTGGTGTTATGAAGTGACTGAGCTCGTGAAATGTCTACGGGAGGGCGGTGGAGCATCGCTGCGGGGCAACTGTGGACCTCTGTCGCCTGTCAGCGCAATTTATATGATGCCGTTTAAAAAAATGAAGGGCGGTGCCGGCCGTCAGCGTACCGAGCCAGCCGTCAACGGCCCGCTGACGACCGGCCGTTCTGTGATTCTCCAGGTCCGCCCTGTATTCCACCGGGTCACCGCAGCACCGCGGTACAGACGGACCCGCTGGAATACAGGGTCTACCGCGTTTAGGAACCGTTAAGCAGAACCGAAATTGTGTATTTTGTATGGGTACCCGGTACCCGGCATTTTCTTATCGGTTCTCATCTGGAACCGAGTTTCGGTTCCCAACCCTACTGAACACTCAGAGTCCTTTACCTCACTGAGCCTCTCAGTCTGACAGGAGAGCTCTCCTCCACCCTGGTTGTAGAAACATCTACTTCTTATATCCGTTAGCGCAGCTAGCACCAGATTCTAATAACAACAGCGTCTGTACCGGTGCGCCCTCTCTCTCTCTCTCTCTTCCTCGCTCGCTCCCACACTCGCACTTTGGCTGTGAGCTGCGGGCGCCTGATAAGCCAACATCCCCCACTTTCATCACTTACAGCGCCCATCGTACAGGGCAAATGAAAAGTGTAACCGGGGTGAAAAGGGTGTTACATTTACTTAATTATGAATGTTGTTACATCAAGGCCAACAATTGATGAGCATCAACTGTAAAAAAAAATGTTCCCTCCCCAGATCTGGCGCCCAAAAATCGGCCCTGCCAGTACAGTGGCAATGTCTCAAGATTAACAAAAATACATACTGCGTTGCCACTATTTGTATATAGGAGAAACACTGCTCTTAATAATGTCTTTCATTTTTGTAAAGCACTTTGAATTGCCTTGTGTTAAAAGGTGCTATTTAAATAAACTTGCCTTGGCAGGCTCCTACATTTACACAAAGTGCAGTGGTAGAATATGTGATGCTTTTTAAAAAGTACTACGTGTTACATGAATACACTGTCTTGTTTTTCGAGCTCTGTTGTTTAGTTTTTGTTAGTAGGATTGCAGACCCGAGAGCAGCCAGCCTCTAAAGTCATTGTTGTCTGTTTGCCCCGATGTTTAATCCTAGATACCTTCTGTAAGAAGCGTTCTGAGGAAAAACAGGAGCTCACTACATCAACAGATTGACTTTGACAGAAAGGGGTGTAGAGAGCAGCAAGATCATCCTTTGTTTATGATTTTAGATTTTAAATTGAAGAAAACAAGAATTTATTTTGATAATTTTAACATGAATATTGCAATCAACATATAACATACGTTGTTTTTTTTACCTTCAATCTTGTTGGTTGTTGGTTTTGTCTGACGAGCAATACCGTGTGTAAATGTGATGGACAGGACTCCTGGCTTCCTTTAAGTCAAGAGATTTTAAACCGCTGCACCTCTCACCAAACCTGTATGGTGTGCAGGAACTTTGTTGAGATTGCTAGCCCACATCTTGTGCAACTTTTGAATTTGATTGTTATGTCCGAATTGTTTCTTCAGAAGTCAGAGCCAGAGAAGAACCAAAGCCGTTACAATCTACGGCGCAGGAAGGACGATGGAGATGGCAAAGCTGAGGTCAAAGCAGAGCAGCTGGAAGAAAAAGAGGCCAAGATGGCTGCAGCTGCTGCTCCCCCCTCCGTTTCCCTTGACTTTGGAGGGAAGCTAGGTAGTTATAGGATGTTAAGGAAACTACATCCAGTAGCCTGGAGGATGATCTTTAAAGCAAAGACTGCCAACTTTTTTTAAGAGGACAGTAGCATTGTACTGCAGAGAATTCTACCAATCTGCTCACTCTGTATAATTTACACTAACCAACTAACTAAAAGTAAAAGTATGTGTGTATGTAATACCTTGTCTGCTGGGAGCATACCCGTTTTCAGTGAAAAGGCAATAGCTGTGTGTGTGTGTGTGTGTGTGTGTGTGTGTGTGTGTGTGTGTGTGTGGTGTGTGTGTGTGTGGTGTGTGTGTGTGTGGTGTGTGTGTGGTGTGTGTGTGGTGTGTGTGTGTGTGTGTGTGTGTGTGTGTGTGTGTGTGTGTGTGTGTGTGTGTGTGTGTGTGTGTGTGTGTGTGTGTGTGTGTGTGTGTGTGTGTGTGTGTGTGTGTGTGTGTGTGTGTGTGTGTGTGTGTGTGTGTGTGTGTGTGTGTGTGTGTGTGTGTCCTACAGGTGCTTACTTCTGGCTGCTCTTCCTGCCAGCCTGGGTTCTCTTCCTGGTACTCAAAGTCAACCAGGAAGACCCCAGCCTCGCCAACTTCCCCCCTCCTTGGCCCCCCCTTGAAAGCTTTTGGGATGCTAAGGCTCTTGGATTTGTCGTTCTCTGGATCTTATTCCAGGTCCTGCTCTACATCTTACCCGTTGGAAAGGTGAGTGAAAAGAGACCTCTACACTCAGAAATGCATAGTTTGATGGAGAGAATTAAGTTGGTATCGTTCCGAAGCGGTGATCATCATGGTTACAGTTTTTCTATCAAGCCTCTGTGTATTCACTGGTACAGGAAAAACACATGGCGCCGCACATACCTCTGGCAGTTAGCTTCAGCAGGAGGCAGACATTGAATTAATGGTCAGGAGTAACAGTGACTCAGATGCTACACTGGAACACAGAGCTCCTGTTCTTTGCATCCTGCGCCATCTCTCTCTTGATATCTTACACACAAGATAATAATTAGACTTACAATGACATTTCTATTTTGTTTTAAGTTATCAGTTCAATTAGTACAACTAGTAAGCTGAGGTGTATCGTTTCATAGAACTCCTGGTCACCTTTAAAATCACCCCAGTACGATGAGGACAGAAGCCTCCAATAAACACAGACCAGCTACATTATCCAGTGGCTCCATATATTTTAGCATGCATGTGTTAACTCCAACTACACTTAACAAAATGTGTTTGTGTCTCTAGCTGAGCGAGGGCATGCCACTGCGCTCTGGGGAGAGGCTGAAGTACAGAACCAATGGTGAGCCTCCAACTGCCAGCCAAGTCTTACTTCACTTAAGTCTCAGTTAAACAAAATGATTGAGCTTTCACTACCACTCACTCCCTTTGGTTGTTGTTTTATTTGCCCAACCGTATCTAACTGTGTGTCCGTGCAGGTTTCTTTGCCATGGTGGTGAGTTGTGTGGCAGTAGCAGCAGCGGTGCAGCAAGGTGCTGACCTCACATACATCCACAGCCACTTCCTGCAGCTGGCTGTGTCCTCCTTCCTGATCTCCGTCCTGCTCAGCAGCTACCTTTACCTCCGCTCTGGGCGCGCTGCTGCAGAGCAGCTGGCACTGGGCGGCAGCTCTGGTGAGTTCCCTTATGCAGCTGTTATTCACTCTTTCCTGTTGTGCTCACCTGTCTCATTTATTTTCTTTATTTCATCAGGAAATGTGGCTTATGACTTTTTCAAAGGACGTGAGCTCAATCCACGAATCAAATACTTTGATCTAAAATTCTTCTGCGAGATGCGCCCTGGTCTGATTGGCTGGGTGAGTTCACGGAAAACCAAAAAAAACATTTGTCTTAACATACACCCAACGAGCACTCAAAGCAGGAAGATTATTTGTTGGTATTGCATTTGCATAGCCAGATGCATGGGCTGTTCTGATGTAGCATCATTGGTCTTTAAAGCCTTGAATGAGTTGGCAGGTGTTGCAGCTTTCTGAATGCTCCAAAAAAAATCCTATTGTTTTGGATTTTTGTGTCATTGTTCAGTGTCTGATCAACTTTGCGCTGGCGCTGACGGAGATGAAACGGCAGGGTCTGGAGGCTCCCTCTCACGCCATGATCCTGGTAAACCTCTTCCAGCTGCTCTACGTGGCCGATGGCCTCTGGAACGAGGTATGACACACAGCACACAAACATGTTCACTCCAACATGAACAAAGAAAGAAAACAATTACATAGATTATCACGTGTGTCCAGGAGGCCATCCTGACCACCATGGACCTAATGCACGATGGTTTTGGCTTCATGTTGGCGTTTGGAGACCTGGTGTGGGTGCCCTTCACTTACACCCTGCAGGCTTACTACCTGGTGAGCCGGCCCACCCCGCTGAGCCCCCCTGCCCTCGCTGCCATTGTCACACTTAAACGTAAGTGTCAAATTAAATTCACTCACCATTTTGCCTTTAGTCCTGAGGTTTTGTATAGCTTCTCAATCAAAAATGTCGCAGGCATTTGATAGAGAAAACTGTTAAGTCCTAGAGCAGGGGTCTTCAACTAAAATTCAACGAGGTCCAGTTAGAGAAAATGTCCCCATGCAAAGGTCCGGAACATCAAAATGTCTAAGTTGCTTCATGAATTACTGTGATATATATTGAAGTGACCTGTAGCTTTATCAACGTCTGCATGTAATCAACAACTGACTGTCAATCAAATAAAGAAAGTACAATTCAAAAACAACAATATGTATTGTCAATTAACATAGAACTATACAGATATACAGTAAATACTGTGGCTATGTGTAATGTTCCTCTCGGGCTGCATTTACAAATAAAATAGAGAAAATAAATAAAATGGCTTTTGAAAATATGTGCATCTTAAAAGTGCTTAATTTTAGATAAATAAAATAAAGTGTAGCAGCAGCTTGAGTGTCCCTTTTTCTTTGTTAACCGTTTCACATCATGACTTAACAGTTTCAGACGATTATAGAACAATATCAGTCTTTACATCATAACAATTGAACAGTTTTAAAGTTTCTCTTTCTTTCCCTCTTATATTGTAGTCCCTTACTCATTTTGTTTAATTCAGTGCGAGAATTGAGCTTGAGCTTATTGTCCTGCCAGGAGTTTAGATCTGGGCTGAAATGGTGTCAGGGCCGTTCTCATACACATGCAGGTGCTCATTGGTTAGCCTCGGTTAGCTCATTGGTTAGCCTCGGTTAGCTCATTGGTTAGCCTCGGTTAGCTCATTGGTTAGCCTCGGTTAGCTCATTGGTTAGCCTGGAACCATATTTAGTTTTATTTTGATCCTGGTGGACTGATCATATTGCACTCTGAGACTGCTTATTTGTTGTGACCTCAGTTCTGACTTGAGGGAATGTTTGGTCAAACACTTTGTGTTTTGTCTCATAGTGGCGTTTTGGCACTTTTAATGAGCGCCACAGTCTCTGAACAAATGAGACACACTGGCTCTGTGCTCCCAGTGGGCAGGATGAACATGAACGAGTCCGTCCACTCAGGGTTCAAAGCTCTGTTCTCACTGTCCACGTTCCTCTTCTTGGAGAGCGCCATGTGTCATTATGTGTCTCTCCCTGTCTGCCGCTAAAACACCTGTTCACTCTCCTCTCCGCTTCTCTCCCTGTATCTCTAATTATTCTCTTCACTCACTTTCCTCTCCGCTTCTCTCTGCCGTGCTCTCGTCTCTTCTTCTGTGTTTCTCTCCCTGTATCTCTCACTCGTCTCTTCTTCTGTGTTTCTCTCCCTGTATCTCTCACTCGTCTCTTCTTCTGTGTTTCTCTCCCTGTATCTCTCACTCCTCTCTTCTTCTGTGTTTCTCTCCCTGTATCTCTCACTCGTCTCTTCTTCTGTGTTTCTCTCCCTGTATCTCTCACTCGTCTCTTCTTCTGTGTTTCTCTCCCTGTATCTCTCACTCCTCTCTTCTTCTGTGTTTCTCTCCCTATGTATCTCTCACTCGTCTCTTTTCTGTTTTCTCTCCCCTGTATCTATCCACTCCTCTCTTCTTCTGTGTTTCTCTCCCCTGCCCTTATCCTCCACTCGTCTCTTCTTCTGTGTTTCTCTCCCTTGTATTCTCTCTACTCGTCTCTCTTCTGTGTTTCTCTCCCTGTATCTACTACTCTACTTCTCTACTTCTGTTGTTTCTCTCCCTGTAGATCTCCACCTCCTTCTCTTCTCTCTGTGTTTCTCTCCCCCCTGTATCTCTCTACCTCATCTCTTCTTCTGTGTTTCTCTCCCTGTATCTCTCTACTCCTATCTTCTTCTGTGTTTCTCTCCCTGTATCTCTCAATTCCTCTCTTCTTCTGTGTTTCTCTCCCTGTATCTCTCTCTCATCCTCTTCTTCTGTGTTTTCTCTTCCCTGTATCTCTCACTCGTCTCTTCTTCTGTGGTTCTCTCCCTGTATCTCTCACTCGTCTCTTCTTCTGTGTTTCTCTCCCTGTATCTCTCACTCGTCTCTTCTTCTGTGTTTCTCTCCCTGTATCTCTCACTCATCTCTTCTTCTGTGTTTCTCTCCCTGTATCTCTCACTCGTCTCTTCTGTGTTTCTCTCCCTGTATCTCTCACTCGTCTCTTCTTCTGTGTTTCTCTCCCTGTATCTCTCACTCGTCTCTTCTGTGTTTCTCTCCCTGTATCTCTCACTCGTCTCTTCTTCTGTGTTTCTCTCCCTGTATCTCTCACTCGTCTCTTCTTCTGTGTTTCTCTCCCTGTATCTCTCACTCCTCTCTTCTTCTGTGTTTCTCTCCCTGTATCTCTCACTCGTCTCTTCTTCTGTGTTTCTCTCCTGTATCTCTCACTCGTCTCTTCTGTGTTTCTCTCCCTGTATCTCTCACTCGTCTCTTCTTCTGTGTTTCTCTCCCTGTATCTCTCACTCCTCTCTTCTTCTGTGTTTCTCTCCCTGTATCTCTCACTCCTCTCTTCTTCTGTGTTTCTCTCCCTGTATCACTCACTCGTCTCTTCTTCTGTGTTTCTCTCCCTGTATCTCTCTCTCATCTCTTCTTCTGTGTTTCTCTCCCTGTATCGCTCACTCGTCTCTTCTTCTGTGTTTCTCTCCCTGTATCTCTCACTCATCTCTTCTTCTGTGTTTCTCTCCCTGTATCTCTCACTCGTCTCTTCTTCTGTGTTTCTCTCCCTGTATCTCTCTCTCATCTCTTCTTCTGTGTTTCTCTCCCTGTATCTCTCACTCGTCTCTTCTTCTGTGTTTCTCTCCCTGTATCTCTCACTCGTCTCTTCTGTGTTTCTCTCCCTGTATCTCTCACTCGTCTCTTCTTCTGTGTTTCTCTCCCTGTATCTCTCACTCGTCTCTTCTTCTGTGTTTCTCTCCCTGTATCTCTCACTCCTCTCTTCTTCTGTGTTTCTCTCCCTGTATCTCTCACTCGTCTCTTCTTCTGTGTTTCTCTCCCTGTATCTCTCACTCGTCTCTTCTGTGTTTCTCTCCCTGTATCTCTCACTCGTCTCTTCTTCTGTGTTTCTCCCCTGTATCTCTCACTGTCTATTCTTCTGTGTTTCTCTCCCTGTATCCTCTCACTCGTCTCTTCTTCTGTGTTTCTCTCCCTGTATCGCTCACTCGTCTCTTCTTCTGTGTTTCTCTCCCTGTATCTCTCACTCGTCTCTTCTTCTGTGTTTCTCTCCCTGTATCTCTCACTCGTCTCTTCTTCTGTGTTTCTCTCCCTGTATCGCTCACTCGTCTCTTCTTCTGTGTTTCTCTCCCTGTATCTCTCACTCCTCTCTTCTTCTGTGTTTCTCTCCCTGTATCTCTCACTCCTCTCTTCTTCTGTGTTTCTCTCCCTGTATCTCTCTCTCATCTCTTCTTCTGTGTTTCTCTCCCTGTATCTCTCACTCGTCTCTTCTTCTGTGTTTCTCTCCCTGTATCTCTCACTCCTCTCTTCTTCTGTGTTTCTCTCCCTGTATCTCTCACTCCTCTCTTCTTCTGTGTTTCTCTCCCTGTATCGCTCACTCGTCTCTTCTTCTGTGTTTCTCTCCCTGTATCTCTCACTCGTCTCTTCTTCTGTGTTTCTCTCCCTGTATCTCTCACTCGTCTCTTCTTCTGTGTTTCTCTCCCTGTATCTCTCACTCGTCTCTTCTTCTGTGTTTCTCTCCCTGTATCGCTCACTCGTCTCTTCTTCTGTGTTTCTCTCCCTGTATCTCTCACTCGTCTCTTCTTCTGTGTTTCTCTCCCTGTATCTCTCACTCGTCTCTTCTTCTGTGTTTCTCTCCCTGTATCGCTCACTCGTCTCTTCTTCTGTGTTTCTCTCCCTGTATCGCTCACTCGTCTCTTCTTCTGTGTTTCTCTCCCTGTATCTCTCACTCCTCTCTTCTTCTGTGTTTCTCTCCCTGTATCGCTCACTCGTCTCTTTCGCCCCCTGTCGGCGGCGGTTAAAATAGAATCGCCCCGTAAAAATTGAAATCCCCTATTAATGTATAGGTCTGGGTCCGGATCCGGACCGCGGTCCGCCTGTTGCCGACCCCTGACCTAGAGAGATGATCTCAACATCTCAGTGTTAATTTCCTTTCCGGTTTCGAAACTGAAATTACATTACATTGCATTTATTAATTATAAATTAAAATGTTCTGTGTCTCTCATTTAGTTGTTGGATTCTACATCTTTAGAAAGTCAAACTCTGAGAAGAACGCCTTCAGGAGAAACCCATCAGACCCCCAACTTTCCCGTAAGTTCTGCTGTTTCCCTGCAGCTGATGTCAAAACACTCACTGCTTTGTCCATATCTGATTAACCTCTATGTGTCTGCCTCCCTGCAGATCTGAAGACCATCCCCACAGCTACAGGGAGGAGTCTGCTGGTGTCTGGGTGGTGGGGGGTGGTGCGCCACCCTAACTACCTGGGGGACCTGCTGATGGCTCTAGCCTGGTCCCTGCCATGTGGTGAGTGTGTTTTTTGTTGATCCTCTGACACTAATGGCGCATTTCCACTGCAAGCATTTTTTTTGCTTTTCCACTAGGAGTAGTTCGGGCTCGAGCTACTTTCTCACCTTTTTTCTGGCACTCCAAAATCGAGGTTCTTACCGGGCCAACAACCGGGCTGAATATGCTAAACTAGTGACGTAACTCTCGACTGCTGAATGGTCAGAGAGAATCGCTGGCAAGGGAGCTACAACTACAACAAGATGAACATTTTTGACCGTGATTTAATTGTAATACACGTTTCAAAATGATGCCGAAGTAAAAACATACTGATACCGGTTAGTAAAAACCATGAATTAATGCTTTGACAAGTCTGGAGACAGACGGCAGAGAAACACCTTTTAGAATGTGTGTTCTCTAAATGGAGCTTGGCTAAGCTAACGTTATATATGCTCCGACCGTCCACACTCACAACAACGGCCTACAGACATAAATAAACCAGCGACTGTATTCTCCATGACACAGACAGTCTGTGGTTTGTACTTGTTTAACTTTTGTCTAGTTTCTGAACAGATATGAGGAGCTGTGAGCTCTGAGTGCTAAGAGCTAACGGCTGATGTTGGGTGGGTGGGTGGGTGGGTGTGGCTTCTCCAGCAGAGCAACACAAATAAATAGTAAATACACAAAGAAAACTAGTTTTAAAAAAGAGAAATAGTGCAATAAGACTATATGCAAGTTATTGAAATAGATAAATAATGTTTAAGTAGCAGCCAGATGAATATTAGAAATGTTGTTTAACAGTCTTATTGCCTGTGGGATGAAACTGTCCGTGTGTGTGGAACTATAACGCATCCACTCGATGAGAAATACAAAACACTAGGGATGTAACGATACCAAAAACTCACGGTACGATAATATCGCGATAAGAAGTCCACGGTACGGTATTTATTTTTTTAGGAATATGAGGATGTCCACATTTCCAGGTAGAAGCTGGGATGTTTGGGCGTTTACAATATGCTGTGGAAAACTCTCTGGCTTGGTACTGATGTTGCTGGGACAGCAGTGGTCGCGTTAACTGAATATATTTTTTTAACAATGACGGAAAAATCTGAAAGCAGTCTGTCATTTTGACGGATTAGAACAAACTCGGAACAACGCCAACGTTTCCCCGCAGCGAGGCTCTGGTGTTTGCCGTGTTATGCAAACTCCTCCAAAAGGTAATGATATAGTTTCCAAACCTATGTCTGGGAGTTTTTGCTTTACGCTCCCGCGAGGTGCATGCATATCTCGGTGGGCATGGCATAACACATATGTTCATGTTGTACCCTACTTGCTGCCATGTTGGACAGGTCTCCCTTGAAAAAGAGATTGATCTCTTTTGAGATCATTGATGATCTCATTGGGACCACCTGGTTAAATAAAGGTTTAAAAAAGGTTTTTTTTTATTAACCATGTAATATCGCGGTAGATTTTGTCAGTCTCACAACGGTATTGAGACGTTTATTTATCGCGATATTCTGTATATCGTTACATCCCTACAAAACACAGTGAAGCATACAGTCCAAATAAAGAGTATGGGTTTGTTTGATGTACTCCCTAACATGTGTCCTCCCCCTGGCAGGCTTCAGCCACCTCCTCCCTTGGTACTACATGATCTACTTCATCATCCTGCTGGTGCACCGAGACTCCCGTGACATGAGCGAGTGCCGAAGGAAGTACGGCTCAGCGTGGGACGAGTACTGCCGAACAGTTCGCTACCGGATCATTCCCCGCGTCTACTGAGGGTGCCAGACTCCTCTGCTGAGGCCCCCCAGTCAAACTCTCATTAATAATGGATGGGCCACTGTTTTTACTTTTATAATCTTTTGTTTAAACTAAGAATATTTTAAATTGTGTTTCTGGACTGAAGAAGCTACAGTATTGTTAATGTTTGTAAGGAAGAAAAACATGCCACATTGGTATTGTGGACTATTCGAAGAACTGCCTTTTTAATAGAAAATACAAAAAAATATAGATTTAAAAAGTTTGAAAATCTGGGGGAATTTAAAACCACCTCTGCTTGGAATGTGTTGTTGGGATGTATATTTTTGTAGATACACATTTGTTTTTATACTTCAAGAATATTGGAAAGATTTCCAAAATGTACATTATTTTGGTAAATCTTTGCATATTCAATAGAACAAAGGATTTCAGCTTAGTTTATATGAATACTTGTGTAGTACACCTTGCTTGTGTATGTTGTGAAGGAGGTTTTAAATAAGCTGCACAGTGGAACGTGTTCTTTCTCAGGATCCAGAACCTTGTCCAAAGCTCCATTAGAACAGTTTTGTCTTGTTAATTGTGTGTATCTTTTTATATAGATATCTAATTTTGACTTGAGAGTGTAAAATGATTTTGGAGAGTTCAGGAAAGATGCAAGTGTAATTATGAGCGTCACTGCTTTACAAACAAAATGACTGAATCATATTAACAATAATATAAGTTTCTGAGCTATTGACTTGTATTTCCTGCACTTGATGCCGCTAATGAAACCATTCTGTCCAGCTAGATTATGAGCTGGTTGTTCATTTCCCACCACTGCCACACACGTTTGCTTTTCCTTGTCTAGCAGATGTAATGATGTTTATACTGTGATGACATGGAGCCCTTTTTTTAATGCATTTACAAAACCCAAAAAGTATGTTCTGCCTGCCGCTGTAGAGCCCAGTAGCAATACATTGACTAGACTAGTAAGCATTTCTTATGCTGTGACTGCAATGTAAATATTGTTTTTAAATCCTTTTCAATGAGAGTAGTGATGATAACAATGTTCCCATTGTATATTTCATTTGTTGCATGTGTTTGGTTGTTTGAAGTTAACTTTGTAAATCTGACCACTGTAGTAATGTTTACACATAGATGTTTCTGGACAATACTTCTACGTATTAAAAGCACATGTGGAATGGTCTGTAACAGTGTTTGTCTGATCAGACATGTTAGATCAAGAGAAGTCAGGTCACATGCTGTGCTTAGCAGTTGGTGGGCAGCCTGAGTGGAAGCAGTACGTTGGATCTACTTTTACAGTGAGCATCAATCATATCTGTGACTGGCTGGAAAAAGCTTCTCTATAAAAATGGTGCAGCATCAAATAAAGATTGAGAGTATTTCCGTGGGCTTTGAGTTGAGATTTAGAGTGTCTTTAGAAGGAATAGGGGAACATGTAATTAGGTCATGATGACAGTTCAATTCTTCTGGCGCTCAGAACGAAGCTTAGATCTTCTGACACACTGACGCACAGATATATCATGTGGAGAACACAATGACATTATTCAATGCAATATAGTTGTGAATGCTCACAGCAGCATGTTCTGAGGGTCAACGGTTCAATTCAGTTATTATTTTTCAGCTAACATTTTGTTAAAAATGTATAACTGACAAATCAAAGAAAATCACAAAAACAGTAAATGTGTAATAGAGTGCTGAAGATGGTGTCTCGAGCACTTGTTACTTTGTTGTGCCCTTTATTTTCTTTCTATCTCAGATTCTTCTTGCTCTATTTTTATTGTTTTATGTCTTATATATATTTATATCAAATGTTTGGAGGAGCCTGGGACATAAGATTTTGATTACCAAAACTACACTAGCTATCTTGCCTTTCCATCTTAATTTTGAATCTCTTCCATTTGGATATCATGTCAAAAGAAGCTTGTCTTAAGCAAGAAGTTATACTTTCTATCTGGCTGACTTACGTAACATCCCACCACTGCCTTTTATAACTGAGCTATCTTAAGTAAATACAAGATTCAAATATAAAGTGTTAATCTCAAAGTTCTTTCGAATGGCAGTTTTAGTGAAAGTCCTCTGTTTCAGCATAAGACTGGAAACATGAGCTGTGGATTCTACTAAAGCACTTCTGAGAAACTTTTTAAACAGATATACTTTTACAGTTTTTTACAGACTTTAACATTGTCGTTGATTGTGTAGTCAAATAAAAAAAACTCTAAATACAATAAGCCACCATCCGTCTGTTAATGTTTTCACACGCTGTGTATTCAGTTAACACCTTGCCAACATGCTAATATTTACTTCACATACAAGCTTACCTGATATCAAAAATAATGGATACTTCTTGTCATATGTTCGCACACAGAATGCCATAAATGATAGGTCATGTTGAAAACACATGGTTTAAACTCAAAGTTTGTATGGAACAGCTGATTCGCTATGTTTAATAATCACTGCTGCTTATAAAGCTGTTACTGCTGCTATTATATCACTTGCAAAACATTCTACTGTACATTCCATAAAGCAAAGATGACCTATTTACTTTACGAAGTAGATTGCCAGAAATGCCCACGTCCAATGGAAACACAGGGTTCCGTTAGATGTTACTGCTGCTCTGTTCAGGTCATCTCTCTTTAGGCCTGTGAACTGTACATGTTCCACATGTGTAATTTACATGTTTATCATGTGTGTTTAATACTCTATAATACTACTGCATGTACCCAGCAGAGCATCACATTGTCTCCATCACTAGGTGGTGCTGTGCACTGCTCCACTAGAGCACCAACAGTTACTCATCATCATCATCATCATCATCTTCATCCTGATAGTGCCCTTTTAAAGAAAAAGAAAACAATAACTAATCATTTGAATACATAACAGAATAATAATGCCTATGCAGAGGTGAGCCAAAAGACACATGTCACCGTGTTTTCTGGATTCACGTGTTCATGTTGAGGCTGCAACAATGCATCATATTTTATAGTAGAGTATCTGAAAGCTATATTTGTGAGGAGTCGGGCCTCAACAGTTTGTCCTCTACGGACTCTGCAGGGTGCTGGGATCTGACTAAAAGAATTAAGAGTAGAGAATAAATAATAACTTAAAGCATAAAGAATACAAAATAACACAAACAAATAATATAAAGCATTAATACTTATAAATAATAGAGTAAAGGAATTCATTAAAAAATGTAGACTAAAGCATTAATAAAAAGATTGAATAATTAACAATAATACTGAAGTCTAAATAATACAGAATCAAAACAATTAATAAAGGAATAATAGTAAAGCATAAATAATAAAGAGTAGGCTAAATAATAATTGCGTAAATAAAAAAGCATGAAAAAACAAAAACAATTCATACATTTGAGTATATGATATAGTAAATGATATATCAAATATAAGAGTAAAAAATAAAACATAAATAAAAAAGCAATCATAGTTAAGAGTAAATAACAAAGATTAGAAAAATAAACAAGTCATAAGAGTTCACAAAACAGCCCCCCCCTCCTCCTGACGTATGCATCAGGTGACTGGAGTCTGACGGGCCTTTATAAAGGAACTTCGACAAGTTCCTCTCAGTTCCTCCTGGTCCCGAACTTGGATTTGAAGTGCTCAGCGGCTGCGGCTCTTCTTCTGCTCTCTGAAACTTTGCGGGTGAGTTACACTTTCCTCTGTCTGAGCGCGCTCCTCTCACGCGCAGTGACACTTTTAAAGTTACAACTTTTTCCTTCACTGTGTGCGTTGTTCTGGTTTAAGAGTTTAAGAGACTCCGCTGCGGCTCTCCCTCCCTCTGGACCCTTCCCCCGCTCACACTCTCCATCAGACCCGGGTCTGGGGTCCGTTGACCCTCAGAAGTGTTGGACTCCATTGTTCTCTTCTGTCTGCTCATTTAAGCACACAAAGTCACTCATGTAGAAAGTGGCGGGATATGTTCTGTGTAATAACAAAAAGAAAAAATGTTCCCATTGTCTGTCTCTCCTGGAAGAGAGTTCCCATGGTGAAGCTGACTTATTATTATTATTATTATATATTAAGATAATGCCTTCAGATTCGGCAGAGAGTCCACACCCCTGACAACTATTAATTATGGCATGTGACAAACGTTTTACTTACTTAGGTCATATTCTCATATAACTGAGGAAACCATAGTCACTTCAAGACTCAAGAAATATTGGTCCTGGATGTAACCCATGTATTTAGTTTGTTTTGTTAAAGAACACTAATGTTGAACAGGTCAGCTTGTCCAGCTTAGTGAAGCTAGTCAGATTTATGCTGAGAGATGAAGAGGAAGACTCAGTGGTCAGGAGAGTGTGTGAGCACTGTTAAAGTTCTGAAGATCTCCCAGCGTCGTCACAGCTCTGTGCTGCTCTCAGAACAGCTAACATGAGAAGCTTTACATGCTCTTCCACCGGCTGGAGGGGCAGACACTTTACGCTGCCTCCCTCTGTGTCTTTGTCCTCACCATGGCAAATAATTAAAAGCATAAATCTTTGTTGGAAAAAAGCTCACAGGAGTAGAGAGGAGAAGACTGATAAGATGATATAGAATAAGGTTATTTTATATGGGGGTTAGCATACCTGCGTGTGGACCCTCAGGAAGGTGGACTCGTGTCATGTGACTCGCGCTGCCTGGCTAGTTGCCTGCCTCAGAGCGCTTTGTGTTAGCTTTGCTTTAAGATGCATTTAAATATGCCATTATTTACTTTCCCATGGTTCTCTATTGAAGAGCTACATAACATGATTTGATCGTCTTGCTGATTCAGGGTTTCTTAAAATTGCTCTATTAATGAATCCAATTCATATTTCCTCATTTACATGAATTTAAATGGAGTGTTGCATACACTGACCACTGCTCGCAGTGTTTGGATTAGCTGCTGTTTAATCATGAAATGCTCCAAAAGGCCAAAAACCCTGAGGAAGTGAATCTTATGTTATTCTGGTTCTGTGTCTCTATATGATTGACAGTTCAACATTGTTCCCCTTCTTCTTTAAACAGCTGAGGCTACCTGAGAATGGGCGACTGGAGTGCTCTGGGCCGCTTGCTGGACAAGGTCCAGGCCTACTCCACTGCGGGGGGGAAGGTGTGGCTGTCAGTCCTCTTCATCTTCAGGATCCTGGTCCTGGGGACCGCCGTGGAGTCCGCCTGGGGAGACGAGCAGTCTGCATTCAAATGCAACACTCAGCAGCCTGGCTGTGAGAACGTGTGCTATGACAAATCCTTCCCCATCTCCCACGTGCGCTTCTGGGTCCTACAGATCATCTTCGTGTCCACGCCCACGTTGCTCTACCTGGCTCACGTCTTCTACCTAAACAGGAAGGAGCAGAAGTTTGCCAGGAAGGAGGAGATACTTAAAGCTGTGCAAAATGATGGAGGTGATGTTGACATCCCGCTGAAGAAAATTGAGTTGAAAAAGCTCAAGTATGGCATCGAGGAGCACGGCAAGGTGAAGATGAAAGGGGCCCTGCTCAGAACCTACATAGTCAGCATTTTATTCAAGTCTATGTTTGAGGTGGGCTTCCTGGTGATCCAGTGGTACATATACGGCTTCAGCCTTAATGCAGTGTACACCTGTGAGAGGGACCCCTGCCCCCATAGGGTGGACTGTTTCCTGTCCCGTCCGACGGAGAAGACGGTCTTCATCATCTTCATGCTGGTAGTGTCTATGGTATCTCTGATGCTCAACGTCATCGAGCTCTTCTACGTTTTCTTTAAGAGGATCAAAGATCGCGTGAAGGGCAGACAGCCCCCCATTCTGTACCCAAATGCAGGCACATTGAGCCCCACTCCTAAAGACCTGTCCACCACTAAGTATGCCTACTATAACGGCTGTTCCTCCCCCACCGCACCACTCTCACCCATGTCCCCCCCAGGCTACAAACTAGCCACAGGGGAGCGGGGAACTGGCTCCTGCCGTAACTACAACAAGCAGGCCAACGAGCAGAACTGGGCCAACTACTCCACAGAGCAGAACCGCCTTGGCCAGACTGGTGGAGGAAGCACTATTTCAAACTCCCATGCCCAGGCTTTTGACTTCCCCGATGACACCCACGATAAGAAACTGTCGTCGGCCGCAGGACACGAGCTGCACCCGCTAGCGCTGATGGAGGCGCGGCCCTGCAGCCGGGCCAGCAGCCGCATGAGCAGCCGGGCCAGGCCGGACGACCTGGACGTGTAATAAGCCCTGCGCCCCCCCCCCCAACATGTGGCTGAAAACACTTCATCACATGTAAGATCCATGTGGGGGGGTTACCTCAATCACAGACTCTTAGTCACTCAAAGAGAGATTTCATTTGTTATGTAACACTGTCATAGGTACACGTTGCAAATATTTGTTCAATAACTGTTGGTTGAGAGAAGACTAACAGCCAGTGGTTTACTGCTCTCAGTTGCCATGGTTACAGCTACATTCTGTTCTTTGTTTCTGCTATTGGTGACAGCATTTCACTTCCCATCATCACATCTGAATAAGGAGCCTTCTTAGTTTTTTACATGTGAGTAGATCAAAAGGAGTCTTTTCTGCTTATTCTGGTTCATTTACATTCTGTTGGCCAATAAGCACGCCACACTGTTTGGACTTAAAAAAGTGAGTAAACTCTACTCTGCTACTTCTGAGTTTAAGGTAACTCTTAAGTGAGTCAGCTTTCAGGTTAAAAACAAACACACATGCATTGAGTAGCTCCTACACTTTGAGTGCATCAATATAATGAATCCATGGTAACTCTTGTCCCAGTACTTTATTCAAATCACTTGAGTCGGAACAAAGACACAGCCTTATCGGGGCCTACAGCAAGTGTTAGTGCAGGATGCTTAATATCAGTTGAGTGAATATGTATTGCTTGGCATCAGTAGGACTTCCAACAAGTGACTACTATCAGCATCTCTAACTCACAGAAAACATTTTTCATTAATCCCCTGAAACTTTATATTTATTGACAGTAAGACATATTGTTCTCTTTGGTTACTTTTTCAGTCAGCATGGACTGTGGTTTCCTGATACACTTTGAATGTATGTGCTGTTATGTTTCCATGTGTGTGTGAGGGTTCAGCAAACATAAAGGAAGGCTTTATTATTGGGTCTTATCTTTTTCATCTTTCGTGGCCTGTAGAGAAAGACAGTAGAATGGTTTTCGTTCTTTTACATATTTGAATGAATGATCTTTTTTGTTCTGTAGGTATTGTTTTCTTTTTCAGACTCAATGTAGCCCTTGCTGCTTGAGGAATAGATGTTTAAGTACTGTACATGCAGCTAACTATGTCACAATAAAAATGTGAGTTTTTAGAAGACTGCCTATAGATCTGGACTAATATTTAGTCAGTTATATTAAAATGTATGCCAATGTAGCTCCATAACTACAAACACTAAGATCATTCTCAATTTGGCCTTTTTTTCTTTGAATTGTAATTGTTTAAATCATCCTTTGTGCATCATATTGTCGGTACTTACGTGTGTCATGGATCTTTCAGCTACAATGGCATTTGCACTGAAATCTTGATGGTAGAGATGTAATGTGATGCACACAGTTAGTTGTAAGAGTTTTCTGATACACATGTTACTAATTTATTTTATAACACAAAAATCACTACAGTGCATACCATTAGACATCTGAGCTCTGGTCCTGTGAGAGCAGGAGCAGAGCTCATTTGTTGCCATAATTCAGTCTATGCTAATCCCTCCACTGTTGTACAGTGTAAGTGCAAAACTCTCTCATTGTATCTGTGAAAAGCTATTTTAACCAATAAATGTACAACAGTTGACAAATTGTTTTGTTTTTGGCAATGATTATTCCACGAAGACCTGATATGTCTAATTTCATCATAATTTTTTGTTTTAATGAATCATTCAGATTACAACGGCTGCCATCTTTAATGTGCAGTCAGAGGTGGCCTGGTATAAGGTGAGAAACAACGTTTATAGGAGACTGACTAAACTCTGCCGGCTGCAGATAAAAGAACAATGTCACAGGGTCCATCATTTATGGCACATTGCCACTGCAGCGGGGTAGCCCCGTTTAAGCGTCCCTAAGCGTCCTCGCTCAGGCCTCGGGCTGCCTCGTTACAGTTTAGGACCTGGGGTAGCAACGCAGTGTAGGCGGGGCGATCGGCTTTTTTTTTGTTCACATTTTGAGTTGTTCCGTCGAGCTCCCGCTGGATGTTATCATCCCCAATGAGATGAAGGAACGTCGTCACCTCCTCGGTCGACCACGGTGTGCTTTTCTTTGACGTTGCCATTTTTGTAGCTCCTCCGTTTAGAAAATGCTGTGTATAAAAATGCTGCAAGCTTGCTTCTAGATATATATGCGACGCTAGGGATGATCTCGCGCGCGATCTTGTGACGATTCTCTCTGACCAATCAGCAGTCGAGAGTGTTGACGTCACTAGTTCAGCCCTGGCCTGATAGAACCAAAGTACCCGCTAGCCGGTGCTAGGCTATATGGAAAGGCCAACAAAAACTGGCCTGGCCGCTTGAGGACGGTTAAGGACGCTTAAACGGGGCTACTCGCTGCAGTGGAAATGCGCCATTAGAGAGACATTGTCATGGATGGCCTTTATAAAGTCTCTTAGCATCAGCCAATTGTTTTATATGATGAGTTCTTTTGAGATGCATCATGATCTAACACTGGCGAGCAGCAAGTTCTGAGCCTGCTAAAGGACAAGATTCAAGATTCTTCAAGATTCAAAGGTTTTATTGTCAGATGCACATACGCTACTGTGTCGAAATGGCAATTAAATTCTTCTGACCTGAGCTACTCCAACAATGCAACATATGCAGTGATTTCTTAATATGAACTCCAAGTCTTCTATTTAATCTTTCCACAGCACTAAATCAAACCACATGTTCTCGCAGAGCTGAGCTGCAGCTTATCATTTTATTAATCGAACATCGTATTATAACATAAGATCTGAGATATCAGACCTAAATCCATCATTGACCCTGGCGTTTTCACATTCAGATGTAAAGCAATGTTCTAATGCGCTGAAAATGTAAAATTCTAAATGAGAACAATTTAAAAGTTATTCAAATGTACAAATTACATTCAAAGTAGATTCTACTAATTTACAAATTGCCCAGAAGAGTTATTGCACAACAGTGGTGTTGTAGTCTTGTTTGTTATATTATTGCAAGTCGGTGTAATTACACAGTGTCTTAGTCTTCAGGTGTGTGAGTGTGTGTGGGGGTCTACTAGGGGCTGTGGTGGTTGTACACTGACCGCTGCAGGAAGGAAGGACCTGCGGTATCGCTCCGTGAGATACTGAAGGTGCAGCATTCTGTCAATGAAAGAACTGCACAGTGATGACAGGGTGTCCTGGAGGGGGGGGGGACACATTGTCCAGCAGGGAGGACAGCTTGGCTGCCCTTCTCCTGTGTCCAGAGGACTCCTGTCTCCCACCACCTCCACAGTGTCCAGAGGACAGAGCTGGCCTTCTTAACCATTCTGTACAGTCTCTTCCTGTCAGATTTTACAACCTCAATGTTCACTCGTGTGGGGAGGGAGTGTTGGGGCTGTCTGAAATCCACCACCAGCTCCCAGGTCTCCCCTGCGTTGAGCTGGAGGTGGTTCCTCTGGCACCAGAGGGTGAAGTCCTGCGTCAGCTCCCTGTACTCCCTGTCGTCCTCGTTGGAGATGAGCGAGAGTCGTCAGAGAACTTCTGCAGGTGACAGATGACCACATTGTTTCTGATAGAGCGATGTTTCTGATTGGGCCGTGGGTGTGAAGCCAGCCAACATTTCCGATATTACGTCATATCGGACGCAAATCTGGATCAGCCCCGTTGTACCAGCTTTTTAGAGATTTGGGTATGGAGGAAAAGAGAGAGGGTTTTGTTTCCTGACACTTTGGGAGTTCCCTGACACACCAAAGACACATATTTTTGTATAAAAGACATCAAAAAGTGCATTTTGCATGATAGGAGACCTTCAATAGAAGATTATTGCTTGCTTACATTTGTGTTTTAATAAAAATAAGGTACTCAGTGTTGTACATGTCTATATTACGTGCAGGTCTCCCTTGAAAAAGAGATCTATGATCTCAAGGGACCAATCTGGCTAAATAAAGGTTTGAAATGAAATGAAAAATGAAATTCCCTTTTCTTTCCCCAGCAACCACTTTCCTTGTGTCTCTTCAGAAAATGTTCCTGGCAATTGTGGGAACCCAGTAAAGTGGAAAATATAGTCCCCTTAATTCTCCTGTAAATGCACAGTTCAATTATGCCTCATTAATGTTATTATTATTTGGAATATTATAAACATCATCTTCTTTCTACTCCCTGTTTCTTCAGGTGATTTTCCATCTGATCTGTCTTTACTGCCTTAACCACAGACAGTCACTGCACATCCAGCCAAATGAAAAACAAGCTGTTTGTTTGTGTGTGTGTGTGTGTGTGTGTGTGTGTGTGTGTGTGTGTGTGTGTGTGTGTGTGTGTGTGTGTGTGTGTGTGTGTGTGTGTGTGTGTGTGTGTGTGTGTGTGTGTGTGTGTGTGTGTGTGTGTGTGTGTGTGTGTGTGTGTGTGTGTGTGTGTTGGAAACGGCTTAAAGTGCTAAACCAAACGATTATGACTTTTAAGTCCAAACACAAGACTGTTTGTATAGGAGGAGAAATGGAAAGAGGCAAAGTTCAGTTAGATGGGGTTTAGAATTCCAGGTCAACAGCTGGAACAGTTTTCCAAGTTGACCGTCACTGGTCGTTGGCATTGGGTTACTTGGACTGCTGATTCTGCTAAAACACCACACAATTGTATAAACCGGTGAACAGAATTTTACGAAATTTGGTACAGATGCTCTGGGGGCGAGTATGAAATAAGATCTCAATGATCAAAACTTTGAAGAATGTGGTTGTGGCCTATGATATTTTCTAAATTTGCAATGAGTTAGAGTTAGCTGCAAACACAACTTTGTACACACGTCACAGGCCATGATCTTTCATTTGTGTTATAATAGCTTCAATACCCTATCGTGGTAGTTGGATATAGTTTCCCCGATTTTCACAGAATTTGGAACAGACATTGCTCATGGAATTGTTAACACATTTCACATTGGCTTTCATTAGCCTGGACAATTTTATTAATGTGAGTTTTTCCTTTGTTTTTAGCAAACTTTTAAAACCTTCTCCCAGAGAATAGATCCTACACATTTCAATTCTGGAAGGAATAGCTGCTAATCAAATGTAAAGCTACATTTCAAAAGAATATCGATAACTCAAACGATGAGAAAGTGATGGAGAAAGCCCAATTTTTGAAGATTTAAATATGTCAAATTACTACTCACATATAGTTGGAGTAAACTACTAGACATGTAAAAAAAAATAAAGACATTAAGCAGCAGGGACGTGCACAGACATCTGGAGGGGCTATTGCTCTAAACTGGAAAAAGGGCCTCCCCCGATAAAAAACACAAGACCTTTTGAAAATTGTAACTTGTTTTTAATGTAAAAGAAACCAAACGATTATTACATCAACTAAATTGAACAGTAATTCACATCGCATAACAAAATAAGCTAAGGCGACTTGCATTCGGTGACTTGATTTTAAAAATGAAAACCAGGGACATTTTTTGTTTTGCGGTCCATATCTCATTAAAATATCTAATGTTAGTAACTATTAAAGACAACATGGGGACAATTCTGTTCTAATGTAGATTGACCATTGTAACTGCTGTGCAGTCCAGACATACTGATAAAATAGGGCCTCTAACTAATTAACTTAAATAAACTCACTAATTAACTCTAACCCCGGTACCCTCACTAACGTCACCTTGGATACGAGTCCAAACAACTCAAACTGCATCGGGCGCTGAAATTGCCGCCCTGTGAGCATCAGATCTGACGGCGCTGTTTGGCTGAAATTATGTTTTGGCGGCATAGTTTACAGATAGTCAGCAATGTGTTGGCTGCTGCTGCTCTGGCTGCGGGCTCCTTTCTTACCGCCCAGACGAGAGAGGGTAATGATACACGCTGCGGCCAGGCAGGAAACATGTGACTTATCAGTAACTTTAGACATCGTAACACAATTTTAAACGAGATGTTATTGTAGATAATACATTTTACTGATACCAATTATATAATATTTACCTTGTTCATTAAAAATCTAAAATATTTTTTTTGTTTTAAATATAGTTTTAAATGTATTTCTTAATGACAATCAAACGTGTGGGAAGAGGGGGGGCGGCACTCCAAGCGCCCCTATGGGCCGGTCGCCACTGAAGTAGGCTATATTTAGGTGTTTTTTTGTAAATAACCCGACGGTATCAAGAGGAAGTTAAGTCCCCTGGTTTGTCAGGTGAAATCAAGTTTCCAAAATCCGACACTGAGGTGGTCTTAACGCACCGGCAGATGACAGCGCTGACAAAGTGTGTTTCCCGCAGCGAGACACTACAATACTAATTGTGGAAAAAAAGAAAAAAAACTCGGGATAACGGTTTAAGAGATATAAAAATGGGTTTGTGCGCACGAGAAACTAATCCGTTATCCCGACTTTATTTTTATTTTTTGACAAAGTTACCGATGCGCCAAGGAGGAAGTGGAACACACAGGAGACAACCATTTCATTGCAGACTGTTATGTTTACGTGGGGAAATGACAGTGCATACATTATTTGAGATATATTTCGAACTCACACACACACACACACACACACACACACACACACACACACACACACACACACACACACACACACACACACACACACACACACACACACACACACACACACACACACACACACACACACACACACACACACACACACACACACACACACACACAC